CGCCCTGCACTGAGAGCGGGAGGGCTGTAGGAGCCTGCAAGCGGGACAGATCCCGGGAACGCTGCCAGCGAGGGGCCTTCCCTCCTGCAGATGAAGCCCTGTGAAATCTCCCGGTGCCCCAACAACCAGCTGAGTGCACGGACCGCGCTCGGGGTCATCACGGATCTGAAAGTCGGCACAGAAGTTTGAAACAAAAGTAATGAAGTTTACTCTGTCTCTTTGAGCAGAGCTAATTCTCAGCTGTGTGAAATAGCTTAATAAGGTCACTCCTTAATCACCATCCCCTGGAGGCAAAGGAGTCGCTCTTTCATCAATCATTTTGTGAGCGTGGAGAGCAGCCTTTGTAGCAATAACCTGATAAAGGGTTTAATTGATTTACCCACTGCACGCAAGGAAAACGCAGTCGCTCTCAGGAAAACTGATTAGGGATCAGCAAAAGAACACAAATTTCCTATTTGCTTAGAAATGGCAGGTTAGACCGGGCCTGGCAACCCGTCGCTGCACAGAAGTGTCCTGCTAACGCGAGCGGGGGCTGTGATCACCCGCCCTGGTGCTGGGCACCTCCCTGCCCCCAGTTCTTCCCTGCTCCGCAGACCTCGGGCTCCGCTCAATCTGCCTGCACGGCAGTGGGAGGATTTTCCTAGTGCAGTTACTCATAGCCATACGAATCCTCATCTCTCCACAGAGAGCAGGAGGCTAAAAAAAGAAAGCATCTTCCGTGGCTTTCCCAAACCCGCGCCTGGAGCTCTCGCACGCCAGCCCCTCTCCGAGGGCCGCCGCCGTTCGCAGAGGGGCTCACGGCAGGGTCCTGCCTTGCTCTTAACCCCCAGCGCATGGATTATTTTTTTTTTTTAATGGAAAAACTCTCAAAGGAATAAAGATTAAACTCTATTTTTAATCCTCCCCTGCGATCACATCCAGTGGAGGAACGCACTTGACGCAGGGCGAGCAGCAGCGTCCTGCCCTCCTGCAGCCAGCAGGCAGCCCGGAGGCTCCCGCCTCATTTCACAGCCTCAGAGGCCGCTTCCAGCATCGGGACCGAGCTCAGCCTTTTATGCTGCCTTCGGCATCAAGGCGAGTACAGCCCGAGCAGCATCAGAGCACAAACCACACTCCCTGAAACAGGAGAGCCAGCTCCCAAAGAACAACCCCCCCTTGAAGTCACGCTGGTGGGGTATCTCCTCTCTGGAGAGAAAATCGGTGCTGGGCTTGCTCAGCTTGGCTGGGGATGCTGCTCCTTGTGCGCTCAGCCTCTGCTCGGGGGCTTAAAGCCCCCTGCAAGTGCAAAGGTGTCTCCTCAGGCAGCGGGGTGCTGCGGGGTGCTGTCCTTAGGGCTCTCCTAAACCTCCCGAGGGGCTACCGGGCTTCTCTACGCCCACAAGCAGCAGTGGCCAGAGGCAGCCTGTGATAGCGTAGCTTAAGGAGCGATAGCTCTCATCTGCTGATGACCGCCGTCCCCGTCACGGGCAGCGATGGCTGGGCGCTGGAAGCTGGTCTGAGCTCTGCCTCTGCAGCAAGGAAAGCAGCGGAAGCTGGATGTGACTGGGGCCGCCAAAGCCGAGGAGGGGACGTTCTCCGGACCAGGAGGTGGGATTTCAACACAGCCGTGGTGTTAACGGTTGGACTTGATGGTCTTTTCCGACCTAAACGATTCAAAGATTCTGTGAGTCTGTTTGAGGAGCTGCTGGCCTGCACAAGCTAGCCTGAGCTTGTCCGGGGGGATGAAGGGGGGATGGCCGCAGCCGCCGGTGCGGCAGACCGGCTCCTCCCCGGGGTCCGGAACCGGCTCCTCCCGGGTCTCCGGAGCTGTGGTGTGCTGTATCCCCTCCGCACCCCAGGCGCTGAGCCCCTGCCCTCGCTAACGGCCACAGCCGCGAGCGGAACGGCTGGGAAGCCGGGAGCGAACGCGCACACGCGTCCTCCAGCCTTCGGCTGGCAAAAGCGTGCCTAAAACATTGTTGAACCAAGTCAAGCAATTAACGCTTGCTGCCTAAACTAGACTTTCTTTTAAAATGGAACCTTTTCTACCTTTAGTCCAAAACACGGCTCACAAGCCTGGGGTTGAAATTATTTTCTTAAAACAAGAGTGGTTATTAGGGGAAATAACGTCCGGCTGCTGCTCCTCGGCTCCCAGCGCCGGGTTTGCTCACGCTGGCAGCTCAGCTCCCGTGTCCCTCGGCGCTGCCGTCGCAGCGCGTGCGTTCCTGCACATTTCTGCTCCTCCCCGCCTGCTTCCCGGATTTCGTGGGCGTGTAACGAACGGGATGGAGGAACGAACCGCGCTTGGATGGGGCCAGCTCTTCGCTTTGGGAATCATCCTGCGTTTTTAATGTTAATTGCGATCCTCTCCTTCTGAAAGTTGCTCCGTGCTTCCCAGCCGCGATGCCTGGCTCCCTGTGCGGCTCTTCCCAGAGCCCGCCAGCTCCGAGCCATTCCCTTGCACCCCTGGGACACCCGCTTCGTTGGGCCTCCTGGGAGATGGGTTATCCAAAACGCTCCAGCCAGGACGACGCCAGCGGCCCGGGCAGGACCGGCTGCCCCCCGCCGTCGGGGCAGGGGGGACACGGGGGCCGTCGGGGCGGGAGCTCCGCTGTGCGCCGAGGCGGTGCCAGAGCTGGCTCCCGGGGACCCGCGGTCGCTTGGGGGGCAGCCAGGCCGCTCCTGCTCCGCGGGGGCCGCTCCGGCTCCGCCTGGACCCGCTCACCCGGCCCCAGCTCGGCCAACGCGCTGCACGAGCACGGGCGCGCTGAGCTGACGCGAAACAGAAAACCAGCCTCTGAAGCGGGTCACTTAAGTCTTTAATAAAATATACAGTATGCATCCCATGCATAGATAGAAAATTAATTTACATGCTCTTTTAATTATTTGCATAATGCTTTTCAATTAATACATGTAATTTCATCTTCACATTTTAATACATTTTGCTACTGGAATATTTATGGAGAGAAGGGGAAAAACCTTCCTTTATTCAAGTAACGGTGCAGCGGGAGCTGGTCGGAGCAGACGAGGGAGCTCGCTGGTCCCAGCTCGCGGTGAGAAGGAGCGCAGAGCGGACCACAAACCGTCGATACTGGAAGACTCAATGACACCAGGAGCGTGAGCACCCTCCCATCCCACACCAGTGCTCCCTGGGGACCCCTCCCCGCGTCCCGCTGGGGTTCGGAAAGGCTGGACCCGTACAGGTGTTGGTTTGTCTTTTCTTCCCCACGATCAGCAGATTGCTACAGACAGAGCCAGCACCGGCAACTGCAGCTGTGCCGCAAACCAGCCGGGACAACCAGCGGCAAACACCAGGATCCAGGTGCCCGGGGCCACCCTGCAGCCACCAACGTGTTTTTGAGGTGATCGCAGGGTGCGCATTCCTCCTGCTGGGAACAGGCGTTGCTGGGTGTACTCCTCTGTGCACAAAGGAGCTGCATAATTTCCAAACAGAGAACGGGGGGTCAAGGAAAAACTCCGTAAGGAATTAATGCTGTGCTGGGAGCAGCCCCGAGTGTGCTGAGCTGGGCGGGGGATCCGGGCGGGAAGGGGGCCCGGCGCTCCGGGCAGACCTCCCTGCCCGGCTGTGAGGTGCCCAGAGGCTGCGGTGACGGTGACGGGGAGCAGTGCGAGGTCCCCTCTGCCCCGGCTCTCCGGCGGACATGGCAGGTGCTGAAGGTGGGTGCCTTGGCACCCGAGGAGCTGGGCTCCCAGCGGGGACAGAGGTGATGCCCAGGGCGGTGTGACCCCCTCCTTACAGCGCTCCTGCCCCTGCCCGGCCCCGAGGCAGGGAGGGACCGGGCAGCAGAGCGAAGCGGGGCTGGGCGTTGTGGCGAGGGGGACCAGGGCACGGACCGAACCCGGCTGGCTTTGGTCATCTCCACCCCATCACAGGCTGCTGCAGCCCCTGGGCTCCCTGGCAGCTCCTCCTGCAGTGGAGATCACAAACACACAGCAATGGCAGAGGCGGCTTCTCCGTGCCCGGGAGCGTCCCCCCACGTCTGCTTCCCAACAGCCCTTTGCGGGGACTCTGCCTCCTCTCTGCCCGGGGGCTGGGTGCCACCAGCCACCCCTCCGAAACAAAAGCCCCCTGGCATGGGAGCCCCATGGAGCGAAGGGCTTGGGGGGCAGAGCCCCACCGGCTTGGCCCCTCGGTTCCCCCGCCGCAATCCCCTCCCACCGCTCCTGCCATGGAGGGCAGCAGCCCTTCTGCCTGGCCACCGCTGGCTGGTGTCCCCCCTGCACCGACAGCGCTCCCGGCTGCGCCGCTCTCCCGGCACAGCCCCCAGCTCCCTGGGGCCCCGGCAGTGGCAGCACAGGAGAGCGAGTAAAGCCCCCTGCAATGGAGGGAAGGTGAGGCCCAGTCGGTCCCACTGCAGGGGCTGGGGGCAGCGGGGCTCACCCTGAGCTGGACACCGCATCTCCTCCTGCACAGGCTCATTTCCAGCCCCCTTTCCCCCATGGCCGGCGGGGTGGCTGAGCCTTTCCAGGCTGTTTCCAGCTGGGGGTAGGATGAGGCTGGGGCTGGAGTTGATGCCAACCTGGCACAGGACCTGCAAGGGCAGCCAGCCTGGTCGGGGGCTGCCTCCCCCTCCAGCTATTTAACCTCACCCTGGACAACACGAAACCTCAGGGCAGAGGAAAATCCCCCTTCACGAAGCCGGGGCAGTGCCTGCTCGTGGGTCACCTGTATTTCTTTTTTTCTCACTCCCTTTCTGGCAGGGGTACGTCCAGCACCGCGGCCTCTGTTTGCAGCCACAGGGGAGCAGGGCTGTCGCTGGGTGAAGGCTGAGGCACGGCCAGGAGGACCCGGCTGCGGCGTCCCGGGGGCTGGAAGCAGCCGGCACCCGCTGGGCATCTCCTCCAAGCCCTCCTGTCCTTCGCAGGGCAGGGGCAATGCCAGGCGCGGTGCGAGACGGGGAGAGCCTGGCTCCTCCGCCGTGTCCCGGTGCAACAGCCACGTTGTGCTCGTGGTGAGCAAGCGGGTCCTGCGCACGCCCTGGTGCCGTGGCTCGGTGGGGTCAGGGTGCGGGGTGGGCGCCGGGGGTCAGACCGCGGCGATCAGGGCTGCCTCTGCCCAGGGAGGTCTCGCTCAGAGCCTCTGAGTCTCGGTCGCGGCTGGAGATGCTCTCCATGTCCTCGGGGTCTTTCTTGCCGCTGTTCCTCACGGCCGCCTCCAGCGCCTTCTGCTTGCGGTAGAAGTGGGAGAACTTGTTGAAGATGATGGTGATGGGCAGCGCCACGACCAGGATGCCCCCCAGGATGCAGCCCGAGGCAGCCAGCTTGCCCGCCACAGTGACAGGCACCACGTCGCCGTAGCCCACAGTGGTCATGCTGACCGTGCCCCACCACCAGCACGCCGGGATGGTGTCAAAGCCAACGTCTTCCTCCTTCTCAGCGGTGTAGGCCACGCCGGAGAAGACAGAGACGCCCACGGCCAGGTAGAGCAGCAGGATCCCCACCTCCCGGTAGCTGTGCTGGAAGGCAAAGCAGAGCGGTGGTCAACGGGGCCATCGCACCAGTCATGGCCAGGACACTGGGATCCTGCAGCGCAGACACAGCCCTGCACGCAGGCTCCCCGCTCGCCTCCGTCGGAGGTCTCGGTGCCTCTGTCCATCTCTGCCATGGGATGTCCCACTGCGGGGTCGGACTGAGACAGGTTGGGGATGCGTGGGTGACCCGCACCCGGAGCAGCCGGGAATTCAGCCCTGGCACCCACAGCCACCCCTCTGCCCTCCACCAGCCTGCGAGGGGGAGGCCGTGCCGGGGGGAAAGGGGACCGGTGCTTCCCAGCCAGGCAGAGGCTGCTCCCCTGCCTGCAGCACTCGCTCCGACCTGATCTCGGCTAACAATATTCAGACACGCTTTCCTTTTGGCAGGTCCCCAGACACCACCTAACAGGCAGCCTCTAAGCGAAGTGATTTGTATTTTCCTGAGACGCCGGCGATGTGCTCGCAGGGGGGACGCGCGCCTCCGCCGCGGGCTCAGCTCCCGCTCTTCACCCCGAGCTCCCCGGCAGCCGGGCGACCCCACAGCCAGAGCCCCAGGGACTCGCCTGCTCCCTCCTATACCCCAACACCACCGGGGGCCGTTCGACCCTTCGTTACGCACCTGGGTAGGAGGGATCGGGTGCTCCAGCGAGCAGAGTTCAGGAGGTTTTTGCTCTTACACGCCGGGGAGGGGTATTGCACCCATGGGACACAGCTCCAGGGGAGGCAGAAACTACTCCCTGCTCCGGTTTCTGTCCCCTGTGGTCCCATTCCTGGGGACACCTGAACCCTGAGGTTCCAGATGGCTTTAACCTGGGTCTAAGCTGGCTACGGGACACCATCAATCCTAACGCAACGCAAGACAGCCGCTGGCTGGGCTCGCTGCGGCGCGGCCGCTGCTGCTCTCTTGCTCAGCCGGTCTGGGCAGCAGCGCCAGTGGCCCCGCAGCACCCCACAGCAGGGTCAGCCTCCCATCCCTCCCAGCACCCATGGGTGCAGGAGCCAGCTGCAGCGGCGGGGGTCTCTGCACGGCCTTGTTGCAGAAAGAAACCTGGGTGGAGGCAGCCAGCCGCCCTCTGCCCCTCCAGCCACCAAATGAAATGAGCTTTCATGGCTACTGGAGGCAAAACTGCAGCTGATCCGACTTGGGGGGCGCCAGCCCAGCAGCAAATTTCTCCTGGCTCAGCACCCCAGCCCCAGGGCTGGGTGACGGGTTAGGGGTCGGTGCGGGCACCCGCGCAGCACCCGAGGAGCCCGGCGAGGTCTCCGGCGGTGTCGGCCAGACAGCCCAAGGGCAGAGGGGCTGGTTCTGGGGGAGAGATTTCTTGCAGAAACTACCGTTTCTAAGAGAATTACATTTCCCTTCAGGTTTTGCCGCTTCTCTACGGGAGACTCAAAGTGAAGCTCTGGGCTGACACGAACCCAAGCGGCCCTGGTCATCAGGTCAGTCCGGGGATCCAGCCACAGTCAGCGTGGGCTGGCCTCAGCACCCACCGCCACGGGGTTCTGCGGCCCCGGCTCGCCGAGCCCCACCCCGAGGGGTCTGGGAGCCCCGGCGGGAGCGGGGCCGTGGGACCCCCAACCTCCCAGGTGGGCACGCGGGACCCAGGGGGGCAGACTGACGGCAGCGGCGCGCAATGCTCCTTGAAGAAGCCATCATTTCTCTGGTTTCAAACTAAAACATTTTTGTTGCCCGTCTTTCTCTGGATATTCTTAATTTTTGAGCAAAATATAAACCTGTGCCAAAAACTTGGGGTGGGGAAAGGCAGCGGGCAGTTTGGGGACGAGGCAGCATGCGATGCCAGGAAGGGGACTGCCAGAGGACAAGCTGGGACCAGGCAAACTGCCACGGGCCAGCGCTGGCACCTGGGCCAGACCCAGTGCCCAGCTCCCGCCCCTGCCCTGCAGCCGGCGAGGCGTCACCGAGAGCCCTGCGCGCAGCGGGGACGGGGACCCCGAGCTCTTAAAGCCTCACAGACCGGGAGGGGACACCGAGCCCCCATTTTCTGGCAGGGCCAGGCTAAGCACCCGCCAGTGCCAAGGCCTCCGCCGTCCTCACAGCATGGCGAGTCCACTCGCTTTTTGATTGTCAGAAGCGAATTTCTTGGATGTTTCTGCCCGCTGATCCGCCAGCTTGCTCTTCGTCTTTTGGGGAAAGGGAAGCAGAGCTCTGATTGCGGGTTTTTTTTCCCAGTCTCCTAAGAGCCAGAGAATGCTTTATTGGAGACCACATAATGACTGAATGAAACAACATTTGAGCAAAGCAAACAGCAGAAGATGTGGGAAAAGAGCGTCCGCGGTCAAGACGAGACATAAAGGAGGTGGATTCATGGCAGGGAGCGAGAAGACTTTGCTTAGACTGCTGGCAAAAGCTGCTCAGCTAATGCCAGTAATACCGAGGGGAAATAATCCTCCTCTGCCGTCGCCTGTGGCTGCAGATGCCCTGTAGCAGCTCTGAGGGAGCTCCTGGGGAAGGACAGACAGCTCAGAGCCCCCGAGTTTCGAGGGTGCATCGCTTGGCTGTGAAAGGCTTGCTCCTGGCTGGAGCTTAACAGCACGTCTGCACGTCCCAGCTGGGGAGCAGCAGAGCCGAATAACCTTATACATTTTTAAAGAGTATCAGTTATGGCCCTGGGATGTGTTGGAGGGTGAAGACGAGGGGGAAGTCAGGCAGCTCGATAGCTCCTGCTGCTTTAATTTACAAGCAGGGTCAGGGCTTGCGGCACAGGGGAGGCTCCCAGCTGATCCTCAGGTACTGGTTGCCACCTATTTGCAGCCATTTATCCTCAAAACGTGTGGTTTGCTCATTGATCCGGGAGCAGGCAGCCGCAGCTGGGGTTCGGGTGGGCTGCGGGCTGAGCAAGCAGCCAGCCCTGGGGGAGGCGATGCTGGGGGATAAAAGGCTCCAGGGAAAGAACCACCCCACAGCAGCCTTGCTGGGCTCCTGCCCCTGCAGGTCTGCCTGCCCCGGGCTCCTTCCCCGGCTGAACACATAGCTTTCCTCCAGTACCGCAGAAGACGCATGAAGTGGAAGAGCCCAGTTTGAGCCTGGCTGGAGACACCAGCGCAGGGACCGAGCGCGGAGACGGCCCGTGGTAGCGACAGCATCTGCTGCCCGGGGACGTGCAGCTCCGGCTCTTCCAAGCTGTTGGTGTATTTAGGCCCCCGAGGGGACAGACAGCAACTCCGGCGGATCCCTGCGGACGCCTGAATTGCTCAGCGCCGTGCACCTATTGACTGCCAGTGGGAGACAGGCACCAAACCCGCACCCGGGAGGCGGCAGCAGCGGTAATGGATGTCGTGCACGGCAGGGAGGAAGAGCAGAGGCGTGTGGGAAGCCTCTCTTCAAATTAAATAGACCCTGGATCAGGCCCCAAGCAATCTGAAGCTGGTTCAGAGTTTATGATGCACAAATGACAGAAACCCTTCTGCTAGCACTTTTGTGGCAGGGGAATGATTACTCAGCTTGCCAGAGCCATCGCTCCGCTTCCTGGCTGTTAACAGCTTCACTCCTCGGCTGCTGCTTTATGCTCTTGCAATAGGAAGTAAATTATGATTAACAAGACGTTGTAATTTATGCGCCCAGTAAATCACAATGCCAAGCTGCTGCGTCAGACTTCTGTCTTCGCTCAGCCCCGTTTACAGCTGGCTCCGGAGTCCCTGGGAAGCGGCACTTTCCCGTACGTCACTGGGTGAATCAGCGGCGCGGCAGAGGCCGGAGCCGGGACGCTGCCGGCTGCCCGGATCTCGTCTGCTGCTTAATAGCACGCAGATGAGCCCACCAGTCCCTGCTCTGCTGCAATGTGGTGTTCACGCTTAAATGGAGCACAGAAAGGGTTCAGGGAGCCCTTCCCACGTGTACGATTTTATTTAAATTCTGCAAGCAGTGTTACAGGGGTCTGTCACTTGCTAATTGCTCTTTCAAGGTGAGCGTTCAGAAGTATGATGCAGGTAGGACTTCAGGCAGCTTCATTTCCAATAATCCTCCACGGAGCCCATTTTCAGCAGGCTTTGAGGATGCCAGGAATTTTTCCCCCCATTTTTTCTGACGTTCTGTGGGATTTGCAGGATTAGTGCTGGGCTGGGCCGGGCCAGTCCTGCTTCACAGCAAGAAGTTGGCAGAAGACCTTTCCTACTGCCCATCCTCATCCCCAGCCACGCTCGAGGGTTGCTTTTCTCCATGGCTCACCCACGGGAATGGGTCCAACGCTGGCAGTCAAGTCCTGCTGACACCAGGCCATCCCATGCCGGCCCTGCCACGGCTGCAGCGGTGAGAAACGGGGTGTCCCAACCGCGGCTGTGCCCGCTTCATCCCTGCCATGGTGGGAGCAGCTCCAGGAGCTGCGGCTCTGGCCCCTGCCAGGCGCCGGGTGGGAGGAGAGCATCCCTTCGGTTCAGTTTCAAGCTCTGTTACGAAGATTGCTTTCCTTGGCCGTTTGTTTGGCACAGCCTTTGTTTGAAGGAGGAAAAAGTACAGGGACATTTCGTGAGCAGTGCATGAACACCAGTCTTCTAGGTTAAATGTGGGGACCCGAGGTGGTCCCACGAGGAGATGTTCGCCCCGGTGACCCCCTCCCTGCGCCCAGCACAAGCCCCGTGTGTGGTGGGGCGTCGGGAGCGTGTGTCGCTCTGCACCTTGGCAGGCTTGAGGATTTCTCTTGATGTGGTCACCAAGAATTGGAGACAATTAAAGGCTGAGTTTAATCGGCCTCTGCATCAGGCTGGATTTTCTGCGTAAGCGCAGGAGGCAAGGGGACGGTTTCACCCTCCCCAGATTCGGGCACGTGGCCCTCGGCACGGGGGGGACGGAGGAGGGAGGGCCGGCGGGGGAGAGCTGAGAGCTGCACAGGGCACCGTGGCTGGTCCGTGCTGCGCAGCCGAGCTGCAGCGATGGAGGTCTGGGCCGCAGTGCCAGGCTGGTGAGGATTTCATGATAGCTTCGTGCTTGGACTCTTGCCACAGCTGATCTTGGTCTGTCTAAGGAGGCTGGGGGTGCTGCAGAGGGGGCTGGAGAGATGCAGCCTTGGGGCATGCCATGGGGATGAGGGGCGTGAGAGGAGGCACTCATCCCCCCAGACCTGCAGGGGTGCCACCTCCCAGCGCGCCTGGACCCTGCTCCTTCACCCTCTCAGCATCTCCTCATCCAGCTCTCCCTCCTGAGGACCGCACGGTCCTGGGGCCAGCCTCCCCCAGCCCCGCGTGTCCTGCTTTCTCTGAGCCACTCCAGCACCCCGAGGGGCAGCTGCTGGCAGACGGGCTCTGCTGGGGACACGCACCCTGCCTTGGGCTGGTTGTCCCAGGCCCTGCAGCTAATCTTCTGCTCTTCTATTGCTGCTCTGCACCACCCATGGTTGACCATGTGCCAGTCCCGACCTCATCATACCCTGGAGCATCCAAGCATCAGCTCAGCTGGACCAGGATCTCCATCTCTCCCTAGATGGGCAGACACCAAGGGCTGGACACTGGCCTCCGGCCAGCTGGCAGCCTGCCCTTAGGAGGTTCCCCGTCCTCCCAGACTGGGGATAGGAGCAGCTCTGAGCCGCACACGCTGGTGCTGGTTGCCCCAGCAGCTGCTGGCTGGCCCGGTCCCTGCTCAGCAGGCCGCTCACAGCCTGGCTCGGCGCTGACCCCAGAGGTGGGTCATCACCATCCACCCGTGCACGGCTGAGTCCGTTCCAACACCATGCAATGGGGCTCGCACACCATGGCGGGGAAGGGGTGGCTGGGTCCCTGGAAGCACCAATTCTGCGCGAAGCAAAGTCTGCAAGCAATGGGGTGAATTGCTGTTTGCTCCGAGCGTGCGTACAAAGAGGGTGCACGCAGCGCTCCTCGCAGTGCTCCTCGCACTCGGTTGCTTGAGCAGACACACAGACCAACAGCCCAGCCCACCACCCCAAGCGTGCTCGCCAGCCGCTACCCAGAGCTGGCAGCTCACTGGGAACAGGAATGTCCACATACCCCAGCCATACCAGAGCTCTCCTTCTTACCCACAGACCCTAGGAGTAGATAAGGAGATAGCCAGTTTACCTTCAAGGTGGCCCCCAGCGACCTCAGTCCGGTGGAGTGCCGAGCCAGCTTCAGCACCCGGAATATCCTCATGAGCCGAAACACCTGCACGACCTTGCCCAGGTTGCCCAGCTCCGAGTCACTGCCCACGGTCACGTCCACTAAGAGGGTGAAGTAGAAGGGCAGCACCGAGACAATGTCAATCAGGTTCAGCGGGTGCTTGAAGAACTTCCTGGGGTTGGGGGAGAGCAGGAGGCGGGAAGACACTTCGAAGGTGAACCAGGAGATGCAGAAATACTCCAGCTTGTGCAGGACAGGTTCATCGAGCATGTTGCCGTTCTCATCCACCTCCTGGTACTCGGGCATGCTGTGGATGCACATGGTGGCTATGGAAACCAGCACCACGCTGATGGACACGAAGCTGAAGAGTTTGCTGGGGATGGAGTAGCCGGGGTTCTCCATGGTGAGCCAGAGGCGTTTGCGCACGTTGCCGCAGCGCAGCGTGCTGTAGCGCAGCAGGTCGTGGTTGATGTCGGAGATCTCATCGGGGGACGTGTCCACGCTGCTGACCTCACTCTCCTCGTCCCAGTTGTGGTGCCGGCTCTCCAGCTTGCGCTCGTGGTAGCGGTAGCTGCAGCAGGAGTCCAGGAAGAACTCATTGATGCCCCAGTACTCGATCTCCTGGCAGAAGGAGAAGACGCACAGCTCCTCCATGACGTGCAGCTTCCCCGTCTGGTAGAAGTGGAGCACGTAGAGGAAGAAGCCGGGGTTTCGGTCGAAGTAGAACTCCCTGGCGCTCACGTCGTAGTCATCGCAGAGCTGCAGGATGGACTCCTCTGAGTCGCAGGAGAGCAGGCGTCCCAGGCGGGTGTCGGGGAACTTGGAGAGGGCGCTGGAGCTGAGCCGCCTCCTCAGACCCCCCACGTTGATGTTGATAACGTCCTCCTCAAAACCGGGACCCCAGTAATTTAAGGTCTTGTTGACCATGATCAGCAGAACGGAGGCTGGTTCCACCTGCGGGCGAGACACAGCGGGGCTGGAGGGGACGCAGGGCTCCCCCCGCTCCGGGTGCTCCTGGGGGAGAGGGCCAGAAGCACCCTGAGGAGTGAGGAGGGGTGTTTGCACCTTGAAAAGTGAGGATCAAGGAGAAGGGAGGGGAGAGAAACAGCTTTGGGCAGTTGTTCTTTGGTGGTATGGAAGGGGAGGGGGAAAAAAGCCAATTATTTTTCCAGGTCGAACTTTTCCTTGCCTTTTTTTTTAACCTCTTAAAGTTTCTCCCCTTGCTAATGGCCTAAGGAAGGCAGGTTACTGCACCTCCGGCACCTCATCCACGGGGCTTTCCTTGTTCAAACAGGTAATTAGTCGCTGAAGGGAAGATTTATGCCCCAAAGAGCCTCCCCTGTGGAAAAACCAGATCTCGCGCTGCCCCGTGCTCATGAAATCAGGGCCGCAGTGATTCTGCCCAAGAGCTCTGTAGCCCAGCTACCGGCGTTGCTCATTAGCCCTGGCCACAAAGTCCTTCGAAGGTGCGATCTTCCCAGCAGCAGAGGCAGTTTTGCCAAAATCAAAGTGTTTTCACAGAAGGTGCCGGTTTTAGGGAGAATTTCAGTGGAAGAAGTGTCAAAACAATTCATCTGCCTGCTTTGTTTCCTCTTGTGTGTTCTGTCATGTAAAATATTATTTTTATAATGTTGAAGCATAACACAAACATGATTCAGAATCGTTGATGACTCTGAATTAAAAACCTGTATGTTGGGAGGGAAATAAAAATCAAAGTTTTGATTTCTCTTGTCTTTCAGGATTTTAGAAGTTTCGGGGAGCTGGGGTTTTCCGTTCAGCAGAACTTCCGTTTTCTAATGAGAGGCACTTAAAGCATCTAACAGAGAGAAGCATTCCCACCCCTTCAAACGCGCTCCCCCATCTTGACGAGAAGCTTAGAATAAAAAGGCAAGCGAGAAGCTTTGTGATCTTCCTGTGTCACCTTGAAATCAGACTTCTCCACCTACCTTCGTCATCAAAACGCCGGGGACGTGCGGAGCAGCCCCGTGCCCAGGCGGTGCCCCCGCTCCTGGCACGGGCGCGCTGGGTGTCCTCGGGAGGGACACCGCGTTCGCGCTCTCGGTCGAGGAATTACATTTTCCCCCCCGCATCGGCGATTTTGGAAAAATCCCGCTATCGGGCGTGACTTGCTCCTGAGCTCTGCTCACACTTCCAGGGGCGCTGCTGGTACCGACGCGACTTCTGCAGCCGCCGCGGTCACTGAGGCACTGGTGACCTGCAGAGTAGCCCATCTCCCATCTCAAAGGCTTCCCTCCCTGGTTTTAACCAGCCAGCTGCTCATCCGAAAAACCCCTCGCCTTCTCTGCCTTGTGCCGCCCACTGAAGTTTTCGAACTTTCAGGTGGTGCGGAGGCCGCAAACAGGCGGTGGGAGACGAGGGAAAAGGCTGCAGCAGCCCCGCGGCGATGCTGAGGTGCCACCGGCCCCCGCCCAGGACAGCCGGGTCCGACGGCAGCCCCCGAGGGCCAAGGCCAGGTCGGTGACACGAGGCGGGTCCCCCCCGCCCAAGGGAATCGTGGTTCCCCGCAGCCCCCTCGCGCCCCAGCCCTGCGGTGCTCCCCGGACGCCTCACGGGGTTTGCGGGGCCAACGCAGAAGCAGGGGAAGGGCTCTGCGCCTTTCCCAGTGCCTGAGAAATGCGGCGTAAAAGGTTTGGCAGGCCGGGAGGGACCTGGGGAACACGCTCACATCTAAATCTGGGGGTCAGAGCAGCGCTGGAGAGGAACAGGTAGTGGAATAGCAGTTAGAAATAAACCCCAGAGGTGGGTTTTTAAGCTGAGCAGGGCTATGGGTGCAGCAACTGCCAGATTTGTGCGAAATAGCCTGGCAAAGGCATCTGCTAACTCCGCTGCAGCTCAGAGCCAGGGCTCCTTAAAGACACAGGCTTTGCACCGCCAAGCCAGCGGTTCCCATTACACCATGTCTGGAGGAGGCAACCGGCTTGCGATAAGCCTCAGAGCTTAATGGACTCATTGTCTTGCCTTTCAGAGGGGAGGAGAAGAAAAGCAGGATCAACTTGTTTAATGCTTAAGACAAAAGCAAGGGAGAAAAAGGGGTGTAAAAACTCCTTTTCAGGGATAAATTGGAATTTCTGTGCCAGATTAGCTTTTCCAGGGAAGACATCACACGGCCCATCTGTGGGGTGGGGATGACTAATCCAGGTTCCTTCCAGAAGGATGCTCATGCCTCCAGGCTACAAACACAGCCGGGGCCGTGGGGGTGGGTCCGTGGGCTCCAGCGTATCCCCCACCCCACAGCAGCCTCTCCCCGCACCCGCCCTGCCCAGCAGCCGCTCCAGACCAGGCCAAATGTCACCCAAACCAAAGGGAAGGTGGTTCTGGGGCTGGGCTGGGGCACGGGGCAGCCCGGGTGGCCACCGGGGGCTGTGCTGGGGCAGCGGGGCAAGCCCAGAGCCACGCTCCAGCGCAGCAGGACCAGCCCCAGCGCACGGCTGGGCGGCACTGGGCGCCCAGCCCTCGGGGCCAGGAGGGAGCCGGCTCCCACCTCTCTCCCAGCTCAAAAAAAAAGTGGGTGTCAGGACCCCGCAAGCCTTCGTACCCCAGGGAAATCCCTCCCTCCCTCCCTCCCTCGCAGGGAGCCGGGTCGCAGCCGGCTGAGATGCTCCTGTCTGATGTTCGCTTCTGAAGAGAGCAAATTATTTCTGCCCACATACAGCTTTCATCGGGGAATCTAAAGCAGCAATTAATAGTTTTATAATTCTTTTGCCTACTCGTTTCACGACTAGCTAAGCTCAGCTTTAGAACAAAAGTGAGGTCTGAACTAAGGCCTGGTGCGATCTCCCCTGTCGGGTGATCAAAGCTTGCGCCCCTCTCGCATTTGCAGGGGTGTCTGCTGGGAGACAGCGGCTCTCGCTAGGAAGGTCGGGTGGGTTTTTATTTTAAAGCACAGTGGACAGATAATACAAATGTGTCTGTCTGGAATAAGGTGAATTTGCAAAATTTTCCTTCAGTTAAAGCAAGATTTCCATAAATGATTGGTAAAATAGAACAGATAAAGCCAGTCTCTTTCTGGGAAATTTTGAAATATATTGTAAGCTATTTTAAGGAACAACCATCAGAATTACACAAGCCCAGTGCGAGCTGGGTGTTGGGCATTCGAATGAATATGTATCTTGCGGAGAAAAAAAATCTCTGATATATGCATTTATGACAGTACAATATAAAAACAGATCAAGCATATCTGTAAGAAATGCTAGAAGATTTTCCCTTGACAACATATTTTTTTCTTAAAGGCTTTCAAATGGAAGTTATGTGTATTTATTCTAACTGGCAGAAGGGACCCAAGGGAGTGGGAAGGAGGACGCTAACAGACATTCGAGTGAGGATGCAGCAAGCGCAGGGAGCATTGCACACAGGGGCTTTTCCAACCAGGTACAGCGGATTTAGATTCATGGTCCAAATAAAAAGCCCTGTACTTACAGCTCAGCGAGGCTTCCCGGCGGGGAGTCGTGTGCCTGGTCTCAAAGGAGCCATTGGAAGTGCGTAGAGAAGGAGGAAACCCTCATCCTGTGCCTGTAGCCCTCACCGCCCTGTCACCCCGGGCTCGCCAGCCTGCGCCTCCCGGGTGTGCAGGGCCGGTGGCTGCAAAGGGCTGGAGCAGCCCTGGGTGGGATGTCCATGGGGCTGGGGGGGCTGGGGGTCCCCGCTGGGTGCCTGGGGGGGAGCGGGGCTGGCTGAGCTCCCGGCCCCTGCGGGATGGTGTCCCCATCAGCCGGGGGCTGGGGGAGACGCCTGCTTTCTGCTCATCTAAAAGTGCCCCTGCAGACCCCTGTCCCCATGGCTGAGCCCTGTCCCCATCGCTGAGCGTCCCTGTCCCCATCGCTGAGCGTCCCTGTCCCCATGGCTGAGCCCTGTTCCCATCGCTGAGCCCTGTCCCCATGGCTGAGCGTCCCTGTCCCCATGGCTGAGCCCTGTCCCCATCGCTGAGCATCCCTGTCCCCATCGCTGAGCCCTGTCCCCATGGCTGTGCCCTGTCCCCATGGCTGAGCATCCCTGTCCCCATCGGCCTGAAGACGCTCAGGACCGAGCCCCTCCTCTGGCGGGGGCCCTGCCAGGCGGGCAGGGGAGTGTGGAAGGGGGATTCCCCCCGCCGCCTGCTCCCTGCGGGCAGAGCCTGAGCTGCCGCTGTGCGCTGAGGCCGCCGGAGCGGCCAGGGCTGGGGATGCAGCTGGGGGGGCTCCCCGCCCGCCTCGGGGCGCAGGGGGGGGATCCCCGGCAGCTCGGGCTGCCCTGCCCCGGGCCACCCCCGCTCCCAGGTCCCGGGCAGTGGGTGCACAGCTCCCCGGAGGGGACCCCCGCGCCCTGCCCTGCTCTCCGGGGAGAGGGAGATGCAGCCCCCGGAGGGGGGGAGGTTTCGGGGAGGGGGGCTCCCCTGCAGCCGCCCCGGCTCCCAGCAGCAGCCCGGGATGTGGCTGCTGGCACGGTGGCTCCCTGCTCATCCCG